TATTTTTAAACAGTTTTTCTGGGAACAAAATTAGGAGGTGGAAGCCATATTGCTTCTTTTCATTGGCTATGAAAAGGTCCATATTTAAAAATTCATCCTATATATATTTTATTAAGATTCATTATAAGTTAAATAGATGAAAAAACACTCAGGCTGCTGAAGGACACACTACTTTCTCCTACTACTCTCCATGCATCATTTGCCATAAAGTTTATATTCTTCATTTCCTGATAGAAAAGTGTTTTCATGTTCATTTGTATTTCTTTATTGATTATTATGACCATAAAAAGAGTTTTGCTGCTGTTTACTGTTTGTGCTGGATCTGTGTTTCTTTGTTTGGGTGACCTTTTGACCTTCCATTTTGACTTACCATTATGTGATCAATTGAACTAGACTGCACTATAATTGGGGTTTAATTTGAATGTTGCAATATGATTGATTTAATCAAAACTGAACTTGGGCCTAATTTTACTCAGTATGACAAACTTGATCTGTTGGTGTTATAAAGTGCCTTCAAACGACATTTGTATAGAGACTCATAAACATAAACAGCTTTAATGTTAAAAGTTTTCACGTTAAAACAAAAACACCTTAATCAGTCAGCTTTGCAGCTTCATCTACAAGTATGAACAGGTCCATAAAAATTTACAGAGGAACAGAAAATAGACGAACATGCCGTAAAGTCCAAATGCTGCACTGAATGCTGGTTGATTGGACATAATGAGTTGATGAATAAAAAGTTAACACCACACTGAAAATGGACGGTTTCGGCAATTAAATGTATGGTTTGCTCTACACAGCTGCTTATATTTTATGCGCTGAGTTTGAGTCGTGTTGATTACGGAGAGGAAGATCTATGCTCTGAATCGCGTTTTGAAAGCTGCAGCCGATCATTGAAGCAGCTTTGAGTTCAATTACTGAGTCATGCATGGAGTGAGAGACATCGTCCAGGACTGATGTTGATGTGGCTTCTGTCCTTCTGTCTCCTGTCACCGGGTGAAGAGTGGAGGCCATCCCAGGAAAAAGATGGCTGTCCTGATCAACTCCTGTCTAATCGGCTCCATAACAGACAGATATGACTATCGTCAGGTAGGATGGATGTGATCTTTTAAACTATGTCTCTTGGTACTGATGGTGTCTGAGCAACGGGAGCCACCAGCAGACTGGGTTCATGTTCACATACTCCCTGTTGTCTTAATTTTGTAGCAGAAATTGAGATTCACTGAACAGGGGTGACACCTAGTGTGTCTTCTGCTGCTGTAGTTCATCTGCTTCAACATGTTGTAAATTCAGAGATGCTAATCTGAATAATATGACTCTTAAAAAGTTGTAAAATGTTATGATTTTATAGTGATGTGCTAATGGAAAAATTTTACCCAAGGCTCGCTTAATTGCATAGCAAGAAACAGATGCAGGAATAAAGAACAGCTGCACGTTTTGTCTGGGACATCTGACCTCGGGTGATCCATGGTTTGCAGAAGATGCAGTGAGGAAACTTGTTTTAGAAGAAGCTTGTGTCAGCACTCGAAGCAAACTACAGGAAGTGATGGTACATCCGTATGTGTGGGAGATAAGAGTGTTTCAGTGCTTGGTGAGGGTCAAGGTGTGTATCAGTGCAGTTTGACTCTGTGCTTCTTCATACCCGGAGGGGTGCTGACCTGTTCTCCGTACCGGAAGACCTGTTCTTATCTGTCTTTATTTAATTAAGTGCTGAAGTCCGGATTTCCAAAACAGCAATAATCTCACGGCTGAGTGGAGTTGATGTTGCAACTGAGCTGAAGAAGGGCAAACTTTGACGAACAGAAAAATATTCCTGGCATGTCTTAAGTTTCCTGTGAACATCTTAGTTTAAACCGGAACATTAAACTCTGCTTCCCATCAGTAAACATGGAGGCAGCATCAGTCAGGCACTGCGCCAGAGCAGCGTAAATTACTTATTAAAAAATCACAAATGCGGGATTTAATTTGTAGCTTAAAAATGAAATGACATATTTATCATATTTTTATTAATGCCTTGACCTCAACCCAACTGAAAAGCTGTTTTTTATGGTGTATAAAAGGTTGTTTAGTTGAGGAATTCAGATAAATTAATCTGAATGTGTTTAATAGGAGGGAACGGTTCATCGTGTCCCTGCTGTGGCGGACGCCTCATCAGCACAGGCAGAAAATGTTCCCTCTTGTAATGATTTCAAAAGTTACCAGTATTTACAATCCTCCACAGCCAATGACACAGATTTGTGAAGCATAAGTTTGGTCACATTTGTGCCTAATTTGTATTGTAAAGCATATTTCTGAGTAATTAATCCAGAAATACTTATAATTCTTGCGGCTTTAGAAGCAAACAACTGACACAGAAATGCATGCAGAAATAATTTAATTCTGCCTCACGATCATTTTCAGACTTTTCTACCAGATCGCATCAAAATTCAAACATTCTGTGAGGTTATTCCTCCAGAGTGCAGACATAAATGTCAGACCTGTGATGTTTAGAGTGTAGAAAAGGCATAAATCTTGTAATACACCAGCAGCTCTGGGCTACTTTTTCTCCAGAGTTTCGAAGCCATAAAACTCAGATTGAAAAACTACCTTTATAGAAAAGTACAGAGTTCATATTGGAGAAAAGCGAAAACCAGTCTGGAAAGTAGGAACTCAATTCTTTACTCGGCTCGTGTCAAACGCAGTCCGGTGAGGATGATTTGCTCCTAACATTGAGGGTCTCAGAAGTGTTGATACCAGAGGAAGTGGCTGCTGAACGCCCGGCTGCTGAAGCGGTGTGGTGAGCTGCACAAATACGTGATTATGTGTGCTGAATTATTAACAAAACCTTTCAGGCCTTCTAAAGGTGTTTCTGTTGTATGAAAATTGAGTCTGCAGCAGCGGCCGGCACTCAGAGCGGATGAGCATCCAGCAGCTCGGTGAGACGGCTGATGCGTATGGATGAGGCCATGATGGAGGGAGCGAGAGAAAAGGGCGGAGAGCGATGTTTACGGGTGGGGTGGGGTGGGAGGGGGGTGGCGAGGCCAGTAAACTGCTTGTGAAATGAAAATGGCTCTTTAGCAGAATCCAGGACACTTGGGCGCTGCGCTGGATCAATGTCTCTGATTTACTGTCTGAAAGCCTGTCAGAGAGAAAGAGAGGCAGGGTGTGGGGGTAGGATGGAGAGAAGTTAGAGCTTAAGAGGTGGAGGAGTCTTTAATGGAAGGAGAAAGCGCAGAGACAGGGAGCGCTATGGAAGGAGAGGGAAATTGTCCATCAGAGTGACAGTGCAAGGAGGGAAAATCAGAGGGATTGCTCCTCAAGTCCTCACAGCCAAGATACAAAATCAATCAGTCAAGTCAGTGGGGAAGGGCAATCTGGTTTTGTGCAGGGAATTGGTGCTGCCATTTGGGGTAAAATCAATAAGGGACACATGGTGCTTCTTAAATCCTGACTATCCCACAGAGGCGAGGTTATTGACAAACAGGGCAGTGGACACATGGCGTACACAGATCCTTACCTTGACCTGTTTGGAAGGGATCCATGTTCTTATGGTGCTTTGAGATGCAGATAAAGGCGACTGGTAATATTTATAAATGTAGCTAAACCTAAAGCACAAGAGCATCTGAGGTAGAAGGTATGTGTTTGATGTTTTCTATTTTTCACAAGTTTTAGTTTCAGTTTCTATGTTTTAAGTTAGAACTCAAAACTCTTCAATCACTTTCAAAAACTTGATGCTGAAAAACAAAAATGTCTGTTTGCTTTGTTGCTTTTTTAAAATCCTCACAATCTGATGATAGAAAAAGAAAAACATGATTTATTTAAATGATCCTAACCCGGCGCAGATGCTTACAGTTTGTTTGTTCATGCTTTTCATATAAAGAGGATCATGGTGTATAATTTCTTTATGCAACATCTGGTCGCTCAGTAAACTGGATTTGCTGATAAAATGGAAAAGTAAAGTAATCATCAAACACAGACTGTTATTAAAACCTTTTGGGTCTACTGAACTGTAGGGGTAAGTTCAAGTGAGAACCAGAGAAAGTAAAATGTAAAGCCCATATCAATTTATCAGAATCACTTGGTTTAAATTTGAGGTTCACTGAAAGGTTTGTGCTGCATTCAGAAAGATCTTAATGGTTTGCGTAAACATGTTAGTGAATTATAGCTGTTATGAGATCAACAAAACAATTAACGGTAATGATCCAATAAGCAGTGATTGTCAGAAGACAAATAAAGTTTTCTGAATGCTCTCCGTCTCAGATAAGTAATTCCTCTGAAGCAAAAACCTAAGAACAAAAAATTTGAACCAGCAAAATAGTTTTTTTAGTTATAGCTTGTAAACACAGTAAATAAAATAAAGGAAGTACAAGTCAGCGTAATGTAAAAAGCAGCTATGACCCCAGTTACACTACGTCTGTGCATGCGGTTGCATTTGTTACACTTTCTCCAGCTCGCTAATTAAAAAGGACACATATTGCATGTGAATTTTGTTGAAATACTGCAGCAATGCCTTTGCTTTGTTGGCTAAAATAACTCGGAAAAACAATCACTGTTCAATACTTCACTTCCAGAGTCCATCATGGCTGTTCAACTTGATTAGGTGACAGTTACTATATGCAGAAATGAAGCTGCATAAAAAAAAACTTTTAAAATTAGTGTAAAAGTTATAGATAGTAACTTTTCAATTTTACAAGTTCACTGGGAAACACGTACCGAATGCAACATTTCATAGACTTACTGATGTGTTTCCAAGTGTGCTTCATTTCTGAGCAAAACTCAAAATGCCTGTTTAAATGCGTTGAAGTGAGTGAGGTCCGTGATTTTTTTATTTTCATCTTCAATGTGGGCGAATGATGCAGAATTCACATTTTCCTGTTTTTGTGCTTCTGGTTTTTGTCTTTGCTGTTTCTGAAAACGTCCCAAGTATTTCCAGAAACCCAAAAGCTTTTTGTGTTTTGGCCAATGAGCTGCCAGGCACTGCCCGTCACCTAGCAACCAAACCTGAGTCCCGGAAGCTTCGGTCAGCTTCCGGAACCGCCGTCTGCCGGAAAGGATACGTGTTTGTTGTTGCCTTACCATTCAGAAACCATCTGCGCATAGTGGCCAGCAGCAGCTGCGTGTCTGGATCGAAACTCATTCTGGAAGAGAGTAGACCATTTTGGTGTTCTTCTTCTTCAGACAATGTCTTCATCTTAAAATGAAGATACCTTGTAGGTACACTTGTTTTATCTCCATAAAGGGACTATACCTTCTTGTCCACACACACAAAGACCGACAGGGGGCGCTGTGGGAACCAGGAAAACACAAGAGGCGCTTTGACCAGTGTTTTCCTGCACCCTGGGGACATCCAAAAGTCTAGTGCATGTGTGTGGTAGACTGTGTGTGTCTTGTTTTTATTTTGAGTGTTTAATGTATTAAAAGGGGCCAGGGTAATGAATTATAATCTTTAATGCAAAAACCGATCGATACCACCCAGAGAATAAATCAGCTTTTACTGAGCGCGTCAAAGCCCCTTAATACACTAGAGGAGAGAAAGGGAGTGCATGGTGGGTGAGGTAAGAGGGGGAGTTAGGAGCTGGGAAAAACTATTAATGGAGGAGGGATCCTGAATGAACCAGAGAGAAGGAGAGAGAGAGAGATGAAGGCCACCAGGGTGAAACAAAGACGAAGGGGAGTACGAAGTAAATAGAAGGAGAAGAAGAAATGGATGGATGGAAGTTATAGAGGAGCAGCCTCACCTCTGGGTTAACCTCATTGAGTAAAAGCCCGGCGAAAGCACATAGACTCTGATAGGTTTGCGAGGAGGAGAGGTCGCAGGGTCACTCACTGAGAGCTACTTGTTATTTCTTCCATCCAGTTGCATTGTGTTCCCTCTCAATGACTTTCTCCCTGATTTCTGTCGCTAGAAGCAAAATATTAATTTAGTTATGCCTGCACCCCTGACTTTAACACCGCGTTGCTGGAGGAACTCAGGCTCTCCATGCCCAAGAGCTTCAACTGGGTAGATATTTAAAGAAATTCAAGAATTATCAGCTTGTATTGACTAACAGTTATGTTTTAGTTTTCTGTGCTTTCTCCAAGCCCAAATCCCATTTCACCCCTTGCCCCGAGCAATTGGTTTGAATTGCTTTTTTTTCTCCAGTGTTACCCCCTGGCTCCTAATTTAAAGTCACAAGAAGCAGTGGAGAAAATTGATGATGAACAACACACATAAATCACGGTTTGTTGAGTGGCTCGGGTTTGGTGAGGGTTCGGTTCAGCAGAAACAAGAAACACGTCCGAGCTCCTGCTTTTCCTTTTGTTTATTTTTTGCAGAAAATAACCAGCACAAGAACAGAGAGGGATCAACAAACCGCTGCTACAAGTAAAGGAAGGTAGGATTTGAAATCTATATTTTTTTCTCATGAAAAACCCTGTTTACATCAAAATGTTAAATTCATATGTTTAATATTAACAGAAGAGAAAACGGTCAAGCAATTATTTTAGTTAATTTGAGTGATTATGGCCTAATGAAAACCCTGAATTCAGGATTTATATTACAGACAATTTATGTTACAGAGGACAAATAAGCGGTCACTCTCTACCTTATATCCCTATATTCAGTCATATTGGTAGGAAGTTGAGTGGAAGGAAAAAGTGTAGTCGAAAAAGCTGCACAGTAGCTAGAATAGAGGCATTTATCGTCCCACAAAGCAACTAGGATAGTCACTGCCTTGAGAGAACTTTGGTGAATATTTTCAAATGAAAAGTCAGTGGACCTAAAGTCACCTTTGAAAGCAGATGAAAGTAAAGTTTGCATTTCACTTGGAAATGAAAACATCAAGAGTCTAGAGACATGGTCTTATACAAATATTTAGTTTAGTGAGAAAAAAAAAATCTAGGGTTTCATTTGCTTTAAGCCGTCAAGGGACAAGTGCTGCAAATTAGCTGTTGCACCATGATGCAAACATGGGACGGCTGTTTTGTTCAGTTTGTCTATGTCGATGTGCGTCTGTCCCTATTAAATACACTTAAAATAAAAAACATGCAAATACATCACTTGGTGCAACCAGTCATACTGTTTAACTTCAATAAGTAAAATTATTTTTTCTGTATTGAGCTGCAGCTCTCTGTTTGATTCACTTTTTAATTTTGAGACTATCTGGGTATTTTCCTCCATTGCTCTCATAATGTTTTAATTTCCTCATGACGTGGAAGAGTTAAAGTTTAGTTTCTGGGATTCATCTCTCTTTCTCTTGCAGAATTGTTGCAAAAACAAATGCATGAAGTTTCACATGGTAATCAATATATTTGCTCAAAACCTATAAAAGGTTTTTCTGGATGTTGGTCCCATCTGTTATCTTAAATATGTATTTTTTTTTCCTTTGGTAAAATGGACGACAGGAACTCTTGTAGAAACATACAATTCCCTCATATTGAAGAACCAATTCTTCATAAACTGGGGTCACCCTAAAAATGTGATTTACCTTAAAAACATCCAAATGAAAGTCAGGGTTAAAGAGGAACTTTGGATTCGGTTGCAGAGATTGATCTCAGATGTTCACAAACAAAAGCCTAATGCAAGTCTGAGCATTTAGGATGTCTGCCCCATTCAGTCAGCACACTAAGTGGTTTAAGCGAGGCTTTTGGTCGCTGGAGACTCTTTAGTGAGACACAGTGATTAAAATTTGATAGCTCAAGCCAGGACTGGGGGTACATCAGCAGGGGAAGGCAAAAAACGGAAAAAAGAAACACGGAGTGTACGGAGGTTGGGCGAGACAATTTAAAAAATAAATAAATAATAGTATGTTTGGATTGAAAAGGGAAATCCAGAGAGTATCGTTACACGTAAAGGAAGGCTACAAACGTTGAAAAAGATGGTTGAAATGCGATTTTTACCGATCCTGTTACTCCCCTCAGGTGCTCAATAATTAATCAGCTGAGCAGACTCCTGAGATGCAGCAATGATGCCAGCCAAGGCAGCCATCCATCATTCATCGCTTAAGGAATCAGAGCTGGAGAAAACATTCAATCACTCATTTTGTGGCAGAGTTCCTTCCCAAGGAACACCGCCACTCTGCGTCTTTTTGTTTGACTGACTGTTGCTTCTGCTTTTTTTTCTTTTTTTATCCTTGCCATTCTCAAGCTTTCTACACTTTTTGTGCTGGATGAACAGAGATCAAGTGACAAATGAGTCAGTCATGAAGCACCAAACCTTGTATTGTCTTCAGTCTTATTGGTTTTTGGACACGGCGTTGGTTCGTGTTGTTAGAGCTGAAGGACAGATGTTTTTGAAGAAATGTTGCATTTGAATCAACAGAGCAACATTCCACTTAAACTGAGCTGCTAACTGTTTTTCTCCTTGCTATGCTGAAAGGTTGGGCTGGAAAGCCAAGGGTTGTTTTCACTCCTTCTTGTCATAACCTTTAGTGAACCTTTCAAATCCTACAGACAAACCTGTTGTTTGGTCAGAATTTCATTCACATCTTTTCATGTGGAAAATGGAGCCCTGTACTCTGCTCGGTTTTGGTCCGACGCCTTCTTCTCTCGTCATACCTATCAGTTTCTGTGGCAGCCATGTTTTCAGATGAAGCATTCATGAGAAACTCAATGATCAGGATTTTGTTTTAAAGCCAAACTCTGCTTCAAATATCACAACTTTAACTCATAAATAGCTTCCGCAGCCAACTAGATCATATTCTCAGAATAACTGGGAGAGATTACAAAAGCATGCTGCACCTTTTAGATTTCCACTGAAACATTTTTAAAAAAATCTTGTGATTTTCTTTTACAAAGCACTTTCACATGAAATCTAAATAAAATAATCTACTGCAAAAAGCGAGAAACTTTTGCGAGATGCTGTGTTTGAATTTAGTAAAATAACCAGCAAACACATTTGTACGAGGCTTTGCCGCTTTGTCGAGTTTATAGCTTCACACTTCAGCTTTTCCTCTGTGGAGGCTGTCTGTCTGTGTGCCTGAGGGCGTGTGATTGTTGCATCGCACTCATAATAAGCCTCTGAGTGACTGGCAGAACCAATATCTTGCTTTCGCTTTGCCCTGCGTTCAGTGAGGCGGCTCGGTGTGCAGCTCCCGTCATGCATCTCAATTCCACAAACACAATATTCAGAGCCGAGAAAGGGACTCTGTTTTTTGATTAATGTCACCATGACAACTACATAATTCATGAATTGTATTAGTGATCCATTTGTCATTTGCAAATCGTAATTCAGAATGTGCTTGGGGAGGGCAGGCCTCCGAGAACCTGCTATTGTCTCCTGCAGTCATCAGGAACAGAACTCGGGGAAACGCTGACGTGTCCTTGTCCTTGTCTGGGAGGCAGAAGCTGCTTGTTTCGTAGGAGAGCACTTCTACCTTCATTATGACCTCTCAGGTCTGCTCGTTTAGGAAGCTTGCATCCTAATTCCTCCCGCTTCATCTGACCGCCTGGTAGTCTGTCGACGGAGGCCTGGCCGACTCTACACTGACACCATTTGGTGCAGCAGTGGAAGGAAATAAAGAGGACGCTCATGAAAGCAGCGGGGCAAATCGTTCCTAAATAGATCAATGGCTGGATTTTCAGCAGAGCCCTAAAATGAAATGGGATTGCCCTCCTTTCTAAGCCAGCTGGTGGGTTTTTCCCTGTTTGGCCAGCTGTACCCCGACCAGATCTGGGAGTTACAAAGAGATTTAGCGTTGTTTTTCTTCCTGACCCACAGAGTCAGACAGGATTGCAGAAAACAAAATATTTTCCCTCTTGGATCTCAGACTTTATCTGCAATATTTGACATTTTACTCACTCCCTGTGTGGTTTGCACTGCTGCCTAAAACTACGTCTAATGTGGGAAAAACACGGCCATCTTTTTAAAGCCACACTCCTTTGAATTCAGATAAGCCAAGTTTAAGAAGTGGCGATCAGAAGAAACAGCAGGAACGTTTCCAGCTAAGCCTGTACAGGTTTATGGATGAAGCACTTCAAGCTCAATTGAAATTTGAGGGCTTTCAGTTCTCCCAGGCTGAGATTCTTATGTGTTATATATGACGCACCAAACAGAACCTGCTCCGATACGCCTGGTTCCTCTGTGGGTGTCTGTAATTAAGACTCCATGCGCTCTGCAGAGCGGCGGTTTGACCACTGAGGGATTTGCAGAGTCGATATGGAGCCTTACAGCGTTCCTGAAGGTTGAGCAGAAATAAACACAATGCTGACACTGTTTACAATTAAAAGGGACTCACTTCAGTTCTCCTGTGAATAAATAATCGTTTTTCTCTTAAGCTAATGTAAGGTCAAGTTTAGAGGTGGATCAAATTGGGGAATATATATGTGTTATTATTTTAATAATAATATCAACTGATTGCAGTTGATTTCTGGATTTTCTGATTCGTTTTAAATATGAGGAAAAGGAGAAATATCAAGTATGGAATAAATGTTTGCATTTCCAGGTTTATTTTTTTCTTTGTATGCTTCCATCTGCCCTTCTTCTTTTGTCTTCCCTCCTTCCCTCTTTAGGTCCCTTTCATCATTCTGTTCTACATTCCCTCCTTCCTCCTCTCCTTCCTTGCCTCTTTCTGTCTTCCTTGCCTCCTCCAACACTTTCTTGTGACCTTACTACTTCCTTTAAATCTTTCTGAACTTTCATCTTTGTAATTAAACTCTATTTCTCCCTTTTGTTCTTTCCTCCTTTGGATCCTGATTCATTTCATTCTTTCTCTTCCTTTCTTCCTTGTCCTTCCATTCCTGTAACCTCACATATTTCTCTGTTTTTTTCCCTCCTTATATCCTACCCCCATTTTCTCCTTCCTTCCTTCTTTCCTTCCTCTGTCTCCTCCCTTACTCCTTCCTTAGTTTAATGGCTTCAAGGCCAACTTTTCCTTCTCTTTATGCAGTTTTAATATTGGACAATCAGCGATATCATTTCAGCGCTGACTGCGGCAGAAACCCCCGGCATTGTTAACGGCGCTCCTTCTAACAAGACTTTATTTGGTATTCTGCTCATGCAGCAACACATCCACAGATAGAAACTGCTTTCTATGACAGACTCAATGAGACACATAGATGGAGTCACTATTAAATTGTGTTTTACTAAAGAATCCACCCTGGTTGATGGACAGAGCAGATATCTTGGAAATTGGAGTAACTCAATAAAATCTGTCATCTAACAGTTAGTTCAACTATATCTGTGGCAAATGGGATTCTGGGAGTTTGTTTCCATGAGGCGTCGGCCGCCCACATGAGGATGATGTGTCAGACTGAGATCGTTTTCTGGGTAAAAATGACCATGCTTGATAACTACTATCATTAAATCTACTCAGTATTTATATATTATTATGGTGGTGATGGTCACTCTGCTGGCGAACTCCTAATGCTGCTCCAGTTCAGGTTTGTGCTAATAATTCAGGAAGATTTCAAAACGTCTCCCCCTCAAATAAAACGATCAACTTCTGGTTGATGTTTCTGATCTTTCTTCATCTACTAAAAACTGCTTAATGCTTTCAGCTGTGACAAGTTTAACTCCCTGAACAGTCTTTGGTTTTTAACCACAGTCTCTCATGACTTTTTTTACACTGGCTTGTCATTAAATTCACTTTCTTTAGAACCATCCCATTTCATTCATCTTTAACTTTCTGCTGACTGAAGATTGCTGACATCAGCGGACCAGAGTCTCCTGGTTTTTAAGGCCCGGCCCAAACCTGCCCTTTCACATGGAGACCTCGCCAACACTTGACATTTTCAAAACTTGTTTGAAAACTCAGTTTTATTTGTTGGCATTTAAACCAGACTACACCACGACATTTGACTTTTGTGTATTTGTTTGCTAAGTGCTTTTTTCTTTTTACTGTGTTACACAGTCTGTTTTATTTTCAGCCCATTTGTTTTTAGTTTTTCTCTTTCGCTTTGGTTTATTTCTTGAATGATATTCAACATTTGCAAAGCAGTAAATGAAATTCTCAAAACTTTTAGTTTTTTGTAATCTTTTTCAGCAGATAAAACTTACATTTTCTGTTTGCAGGGAGAGTTTTGGTGGATGTAAGCGTGGATGTAAAGGAAAGAGCTGTTAAATTTTCATGCAGATGCAGATGTCAAAGATCTGCATGGAGGCTGGATCCTCTGGCTTTTATTTTAGAGACTAAAGAGTTGAGCCGTGGGACACTTGTGACCTTTAAATAACAGATTTACAGACATAATTTTGTTCCAAGGCAGCAACACTTAAAGATTGTATTTATTTTGTATTTAAAAACTCTATAAAGATCATATTTGAGAAAATCTTGTGTACACTGACAGTTTAGACCCGATATAAAATATATAATCAGTTTACAGCAGATTCATCTGTAGGTTTCTCCTGTGCTGATTTGTCGTCAATGGAGTGATGATTGTCTGAAAGTAAGGAAAGATCACAAAGCATATTTAATTTAATAAATGTTTTCATTCACACCAACATTTGATGCACACCTTCCTCACCTTTAGCTCCTTCCTCATCAATACTCTCCTGGCTGGTCAGGGAAGCAGCATCCTGAGGCGTCTCTTTCTCTCTCCCTGCCCCCTCCCACAGGACGTTGGTGCTGTTCTGACTGGAGCGAAGCCGCTGGCGGGGCGGGGTCTTGTTGTCGCCAGGACTAAACGACTGGGAGACCCCGGAGCCTCCTCGGGACAAACCGATCCCCCAGCCATGGCGGGAGCCCAGCTTTTTCCGGGGTCCGGAGCGAGCAACGGTTGGAGTCCCGGGAACCGAGATGTCCGGATCCGGATTGGATGAGGTTTTCCTCAATGGCGATGGAGAAACTGGAGCACTGCGGAGGTCTGGAACGGTATGAAGCATAAAAGTTTTAATCTAGTTAAACGCAGGGTCTGTAATTAATCAAAGAGCGTGTATCTACAAAATAGGCAACATTTTCAATTAAAAAAAATTATTCTTGCTGCTAAATTACTGATCGCTTTGGATGGGAGTACCTTCTCAACAAATAAGTATTTTCATTGGGGATCAATGAAAATACTCTATTCTGTTACTAATAAAGATAATAAATATCATCATATAGAGCCTGGTGGGTGGAAAAGAGCCACAACTTTTCCAACTGAAACTCCAAAATCAGGGAGGTTTTTCTGTTTGTTTGCTGAACCAAAGATGGCTTCAGGTTTATCAACTTGAACCTGCTCTAAGACCAGCTCTAGTTTAGTAAAACCCAAAATAATGAAGCCTTAACGTCAATGTCAACATTTTCTATTGTCTAAAGTTGCAATGGCTAATGATCAGTTCAGATCGATACACTAAACGCCTCTCTATACTTTTATTCTTTTAAATTAAGAAGTTTTAGTATCTGTAGCGGTTTCACTAAAGAGGAAATGCCAACTGTCAAAGAAAGAAACCGACTTTTCTTCCACATCTGACTTCCTGACATTAAGCAGGTGATAAACTCGGTTTGATTGGGAACCAAAATTGAGCATCTTCAACATTTTCAGGCGGTGCGGTTTTCTTTCACATTGCGCTAAGTCAAATTATCCAAACCCTTTGAAATATTGTTCTCCACCTCACCTGTGACAGCAATGCACCAAGACCTGAAAGGTAATGACACAAAAACCTCTGAAGATACAAAGTGCAACTTCCTTCTTAACATAAAAATAAATTGAGTGGCATCAAATTTTAGTGATTGCAGGATTTCTCTTTTATTTTGGTTACTTGCATGTTAGTTTTGGTTATATTTACCCAGAATGCCTTACGCTTTTGTTCACTTCCTGCTCTGGGAGCGTTCTCTGGCCCAGTTGGTATTCACATATGCATTCAAACCACACCAGAGTTCACTTTAATCAAACCAAGACGTAAGGTTTTAGACGGACCTGAGTTTGCTTCTTTGGAGCTTCAGAGTTTTGTAGACAAACAAACTAGAGTTTGACTAAAGCAGACTAAACAGTACATCGATGCGTCGAACATCAGTGATATGGGATAAATATAAAAAACAAACACAAGTTCAACATGGGACCTGATGTTTCTACTCTGTGTGAAATCAGGTTGAAATCTGAACTCAATCATTAAATTTGCAGTGGACACTGCAGTGAGATTCTGATCTTCGCTGCTTTCAGCTCTAATCTTAATCACTGGGATAAAAACATGTGATTACAGGAGCTCTTCAGTTAGACCTGTTGAGTGAATTGGATTGCTGCAGTTTTCTTCTCAACGTTACCAGCTCTAGCACTGCTGAAATAGCAACATTTAAGACAATAAACTCAAAAAGTGAACCAGAAGCAGCTTTTTTTTTTTTCCTTACATGCTGAGTGAGAGATATTTTCAGTGCATTCAGGTCTCACATGGTACAGGCTTTACTTTCCTTTCATCTTCTACAGCACAGGTTTTAAAATAGTAGCTTTAATACTCATGACACCCTGCTGAAAACACATGGCCCTGTTTAAAGACGGTGCAGACAATTGTTTTAAAAAGGAGAATACATTAAAAGAAAACATCATGCAAATTAGATGAGTAATGAGCAGAAGAAAAGATACTGGGATGGTAAAATACTGGGATGGTAAAATCTGACCTTGAACTTTGAGGAATGTTAAGCAGGTACTTTAGGTTGCCACGTTGAATTTTCTCTTGAAGTGAAACAAAACAAGAATTTTTGCTGGAAATATCCACTAATTAATTATTTTTTTGCTGCATCTTTGACTTAAAGATGATTAAAAGCCCAGAAGCTCCCGGTGAGAGCAGCTAGACAATTAAACACTTTGACAACACAATTATTTGGTTGAAAACCGAACATAAGCGTTAAAAATCCAGGTGAAATTTGACGCAACTGCTTTGAAGGCACCTGCAGTGAGATTTCCATGTCAGTGAAGGCATCAAAAGGGAATAAAGCCTCACATATCAACTCCTTTCAACGCGCGGTTAGCAGGAAAAGAGCCCAGCTTCAGTGAGTCGAGGCTCTTTACAAGGAGAGATCTGAGGAGATGAGAGCGTTATCAGTGCAGACCACACTCAGTAGTCATGAGATGATTTGTATGCGCGGCTGCTCCCTCCCTTCATGCCGTATCTCTGTGAAAACCAGTCAGCTGATGTTTTTGTGTTAGTTAGTCTGAAGAAGGCCGGGTGTGTGCTGATCAGTGTGTGTGTGTGTGTGTGAAATCTCACCAGGCTTCGGTGTGTGTGGGTCTGGTGCAAACTCGTTGCTGTCGGCCAGGTTTTCTATGCTGCCTGCGGCGGTGAAGAGGGCGCGTCCCTCCCTTCCTCCTCCTCCTCCCCGAGGCTTGATTAGTTTCTTCATCCTGTCTGCGATCCAGTTAGACTTTCTGTGAGGACACAGGAGACGGGGACCTTTCACAAAGAGGGTCAAGCATCTCCGTGCCCGGCGACTCACATTATGTACGAGAGCTGGTTTCCCTCAAACTGGTCGGATGCCAAGTGTTGGTAAGAGAAGAGCCTCAGTGGACGTTCAGCATCGTTAGTGTTGCGTTTTCCGCCTGATTACGCAACAAGCAGGTTGAATTTCACCAAAACTAACCATGAAAGCAAAAGTAATGCTTTCAGGTTTCTGCTTTTTTAAAACGTATGACAGCTTGAGCTACTCGAGTTTTCTTTTCTTAGAAATTAAAATCTGAAAAGTGTGAAATTACTTTGTAAAGTTTAATAAATACCTTTTGCTGCAATAAAAGTTTGCAGGCCTCAGGCTTCATTTAATAAAATGTATGTTAATCTGACATACATCTAGTTTTAGCAGAACAAGAATACAGAAAAAAACAACTATTTGTTTAAATTATGGACTACTTATTGTTATTAAACATGGGAGCCAATATGTGGTTTTTAATTAAGCTAAGATGCTCTTTTGTATCTCTGGCTGTATGTTTGGAGTCTTTGTTCAACTAGGAGGTGAATTTCTTCACCATCGACAAATCTTCTGCAGCCTCTAAGCCTTTATAATGTCCTCATATCATGATGCAGCCACCACCGTGCTTCAACATCGGGATGACGTTTTTAGGTTGATTTAGTCTTTCGCATGTAAGAGAAACGTTTATTTCAGTTTTCCTCCCTCATGTTTTCTGTTTCAGACTTACAAGAAAAAATATCCAAAATAATTAAGATAATTATGAAAAACGTTTCCCCCCCAAAGTATCTGAGTATACTTGCTGTTTATTTCTTCAAAGCTCTTAAACCTCTCAAAGAGGATTTGGCTCCTGCTCTTTTGCCAGTTTTTCTTCCTGTCATGTTTGCCATCAAGCTCACACTGGAAACCCGAGTTAGACAGAGCAGAAAGCAGCAGGGTGGCGAGCTCTTGTCTTTTAACTCCGAGAAATAATGTTCAAGTGCTTCTTAAAAGGATTTAGACAGAATTAGTGGCTGAGATGACTAAAAGTTACAGATGGCTGACAATTATCCATGACTTCAGCAGTTATTTGGCCTGCAAATTGATGCCAATTTTGCAATTATGTGCTTCTTACGAATGAGGAAAGGACAGAAATTAATGGATTTTGTCTAATGTCACGCAGAGTTCAGTTTTAAAATATTAAAACTGATCAAACATATTAAAAATGACATTAAATCATCTTGATCATAAAATGTTTTAGCTATTTTCTTTTTTCAATTTTTAAAAAGCAGAAAGAAATTCTTGTTTGAATCTGACAGAACAGGTTGAGGATGAATCATTTATTTAAATATAATTTGAGTAAAGACAGAAAAGTCATTACAGGTAAATATAGATTTCTGTAAGGCAAATGATCCTTGATTATGTTAATGCTACATCCGTATCTGCTTCAACAAGCCTGATTTATTGCACTTCTATCTTTAAAAACCATCTAATTCAACATGTTGAGGAGTTAAGATGTGGAGAGCTAAGAAACGCTGTGATAAATACATGCATCACCACATATTTGACCGCTGCTTTGCTCCAAGGCCCTTTAAAAAGTCCTTGCTTCACTGTTTGAATGTTGCCACATTGACCTCATATTCCAGGCACACAGTGTCCTGAATCTTCAAGGCATTCATGTTTTTCTGACTCTGAACAGTTCAAAGAATCTGAACTTCTGTTGATACATAATGAAGTCTCTCCCATGTGAATTGTCTTATTTTGGCCAATTTCAAAATGCAGTTAAAATATTGATTAACTTTTATTTTTATTCATTTATTCAATATGAAACATCTTCAGCCTGAAGATATTTTGTTATCTACAGGAATATTTTACCATTTTAGTTCTAACTCCAGGTTTTAGGAAAGCTCAGAGATCTTGTAGTTATGATGATATTGTCAAACTGACCACTTTCTCTTTGTTTTTCACCAATTTGCATCACTTGCTGTCATTTCAATAATCTTAAAGTTTTAATGTTTCTCGCTGGTTTTTCTCACTATAGAAGCTGCATCCGCTGAAGTTTTTATTAAAATCTGAAACATGTTTTTTCAAAATAACATTTTTTTTCAATAAATGTGATAAAATCTAACAGTGAACAATTATTTTTGGCTCAGTGAGAAAATTTTAAACAGCTTAAAAGCAAAAACAGCTTAGCGTAACTTGTTCCCTTTCCCCATACTGTTCACTAATTAATCAATATCTACAATTCAAGTTATTACACATATAATGGTGCATTTAAGGACCATCATTTGAAATAAGCGTCACTCTTTTATCAGCTATTTTTGATTAAGTTTGGTTTAATGGTTCCTGCAGAACATTAATT